TAGGTGGTAGAAGAATTATTTTCTTACATTGAGTGTAATAATGAACAATCAAAAACAAACTAAACACCTATTAATATTGGTACTGTGGAACAAATTATGTTGTATTTATATTATGGAATACTATAGAACAGAAATAATACTATGATAAGTCTATATATGCTGATATGAAAATTATACTGAGTAAATGCAGCAAGTAACAAAAGAATAAACTAAATATGATAACATTTTTATGAATGCAAATCTAAAGTATATAGCATGATATGAACATATATGTACATAAATATGGAGAAAAACATCTGGAAGGATGCAATCTGTGGTGCCACAGATTATTTCTGTGTGGCCTTTCTAGCCAGTCTTGTAACTCCCACAATCTTGGACAGAACTGTGTGATAGGGTAATTGTGGTCCACCAAAGGGATTAGTCAGTTTTGCCATCCCGCTGGGCTTGAAATGAACCACCCCAGGGACGCAAAAAAGAGAATACCACCACCACCAAGGAAGAACAGCCAGGAGTAGAGAGTGTGTCCTTTGGACCCAGGATCCCTGTGCTGAGAAGCTCCAAGAAGCAAGAGACCAAGAAAGCAAGCGAGCTATAACCCTGAAGACAGTGAGAAGCAGTGGCAGGAAAGACCTGGCAGCCGTGACCTGGCAGAAGAGACGTGGCAGCAGAGACCTGGCAACAGAAGACGGTGCAGTGGACTTCCCGGCCCACAGAGAGAGAAAGCTGAGTGCCTCTGGGCAGAGGCCTAGGGCTACGGAGAGCAATGTCTGCGAGCACTGCTGGGAAGATGCTGTCCTGATAGAAGAACCACATCCTTGAGCGTTCCTCAACATGAATTGTGACCTGCTACTTCCCTAATAAACCTCATATTCATGAGTACTGACTGTGAGTTCTGTGTGGCCATTGCAATGAATTACTGAACCCAGTAGAGAGTGCTGTGGGAGGGACAGATGGTGTCAGAGTTGGTAAAGATGGTGGAAAGAGGAGGCTTCTCTGGGCTCCGACTCATGGGAGTCTGCCTTGCACAGCTGATCTTGATTCTCCTCCCCTTTGTGGGACTGGAGGATGTTAGACAATGCCTCCACGCCATTTTCACAACATCAAACTGCTAACAGTGGTTAACTCTGGGGAGAAATGTTTGAATTTTATTTCAACAAGAATGTATTCCTCCATTGTAGAAAAAAAAAGAAAGAAAACATCAAGTTTGAGGGGAAAAACATAGTGTCACTAAGCTGTCAATTTGCCTTAAAAGTTTAAGCTCATGCAGGCACAGAATCAAAAGAATAATGTTATGTATATCACAGACACTGACATTTACCATAATTGCTGCTACTATTAAAATGAACCCAAACTACTTAATTTGTTTAAAAGGAGAAAAGAAAGAGAAGAGACGTGAGAACAGTAGAGGAGAAGAGAAGGGACAGAAAAGGAAGAGAGAAGAGAAGGAGATAATTTTTTTCAGAAGGATTCTATTATGCTTCCACCACATGTCTGTCAGTTTGTCACATTATGGTGGCTTGCATGTTGCTGTGATACTGGAAGCTTTGTCTCCGATATTTCAGGCAACAGCAGGGTCACCCTTGACGGACAGGTTTCAGCGGAGCTTCCAGACTAAGACAGACTAGGAAGAAGGACTTGGCAGTTTACTTCTGAAAAAATTAGTCAGTGAAAACCTTATGAATAGCAGCAGACGAGCCCCTCAGGTTGGAATGCACTCAAAAGACAATGGGGGAAGAGCCGCCTCCTCTAAGTAGAGTTGACCTTAATGACGTAAATGGAGTCAAGCTTTCGGGACCATCATTTGCTGATGTGGCACGACTCAAAATGACAAGAAACAGCTGCAAACATCAATGGGATGCAAGAAGTATGAATCTAGGAAAACTGGAGGTTATCAAAAATCAGATGGAAAGCATAAATATTGATACACTAGGAATTAGTGAGTTGAAATGGACTAGTATTGGCCATTTTCAATCAGATAATCATACAGTCTACTATGTCAGGAATGACAAATTGAAGAGGAATGGCGTTGCATTCATTGTCAAAAAGAATGTTTCAAGATCCATCCGGATTTACAATGCTGTCAGTGATAGTATGATATCCATACATCCACAAGGAAGACGAGTTACTACTACTATTACTCAAATTTACGCACCAACCACTAAGGCCAAAAATGAAGAAACTGAAGATTTTTACCAACTTCTGCAGTCTGAAATTGATCAAGCATGCAATCAAGATGCATTGATAATTTCTGGAGATCGGAATGAGAAAGCTGGAAACAAAGAAGAAGGATCAGTAGTTGGAAAATATGACCTTGGTGACAGAAATGATGCCAGAGATCGCATAATGGAATTTTGCAAGACCAACTATTTCTTCATTTCAAATACATTTTTTCAAGAACACAAACAGGAACTATACATGTGCACCTCGCCAGATGCAATACACAGGAATCAAATCGACTACATCTGTGGAAAGAGATGATGGAGAAGCTCAATATCATCAGTCAGAACAAGGCCAGGGGCCGAATGTGGAACAGACCACCAATTGCTCATATCCAAGTTCAAGCTGAAGCTGAAGAAAACTAGAACAAGTCATGAGAGCCAAAGTACGACCTTGAGTATATCCCACCTGAATTTAGAGACCATCTCAAGAACAGATCTGACCCACTAAACACTAATGACCGAAGACCAGACGAGTTGTGGATGATATCAAGGACAGCATACCTGAAGAAAGCAAAAGGTCATTAAAAAGACAGGAAAAAAAGAAAAGACCAAAGTGGATCTCAAAAGAGACTCCGAGAGTTGCTTCTGAATGCTGAGTAGCTAAAGCAAAAGGAAGAAATGATGAAGCGAAAGAGCTGAACAGAAGATTTCAACGGGCAGCTCAAGAAGACAAAGTAAAGTATTATAATGAAATGTGCAAAGGCCTGGAGATAGAAAACCTAAAGCGAAAAACACACCCAGCATTTCTCAAGCTGAAAGAAATGAAAAAAACAATTCAAGCCTCAAATTACAATATTGAAGAATTCTATGGGGAAAATATTAAACGATGCAGGAAGTATCAAAAGAAGATGGAAGGAATACACAGAGTCACCGTACTAAAAAGAACTGGTCGACATTCAACCATTTCAGGAGGTAGCAATGATCCAGAATTGACGGTACTGAAGGAAGAGGTGCAAGCTGAACTGAAGGCACTGGAGGAAAACAAGGCTCCAGGAATTGATGAAATACCAATTGAGATGTTTCAATAAACGGATGCAGTGCTGGAAGTGCTCGCTCATCTATACCAAGAACTTTGGAAGACAACTACCTGGCCAACCGACTGGAAGGATCCATATTTGTGCCTATTTGATCCAATAGAATGCAGAATTTATCGAACAATATCATTAATATCACACATAAGTAAAATTTTGCTAAAGATCATTTAAAAGTGGTTGCAGCAATACATCAACAGAGAACTGTCAGAAATTCAAGATGGACACAGAAGAGGACATGGAATGAGGGATATCATTGCTGATATCAGAAGGATCCTGGCTGAAAGCAGAGAACACCAGAAAGATGTTTACCTGTGTTTTACTGACTATGCAAAAGCATTCGACTGTGTGGATCATAACAAATTGTGGATAACACTATAAAGAATGGGAATTCCAGAATATTTAATTGTGCTCATGAGGAACCTGTACATAAATCAAGAGGCAGTCGTTCAAACAGAACAAGGGGATACTGTGTGGTTTAAATTTCAGGAAGGGTGTGCGTCAGGGTTGTATCCTTTCACCATACTTATTCAATCTGTATGCTGGGCAAATAATTTGAGAAGCTGGACTATATGAAGAAGCAGGTGGCATCAGGATTGGAGGAAGACTCATTAACAACCTGCAGTATGCAGATGACACAACCTTGCTTGCTGAAAGTGAAGAGGACTTGAAGCACTTACTGATGAAGATCAAAGACCACAGCCTTCAGTATGGATTACATCTCAACATAAAGAAAACAAAAATCCTCACAACTGTATCAATACACAACATCATGATAAACAGAGAAAAGACTGACGTTGATAAGGATTTCATTTTACTTGGATCCATAATCAATGCCCATGGAAGAAGCAGTCAAGAAATCAAAGAATGCATTGCATCGGGCAAATCTGCTACAAAAGCCCTCTTTAAAGTCTTAAAAAGCAAAGATGTCACTTTAAGGACTAAGGGGTACCTGACCCAAGCCATGGTGTTTTCAATAGCTTCATATACATGTGAAAGCTAGACAGCGAGTAAGGGAGACAGAAGAAGAACTGATGCCTTTGAACTATGGTGTTGGTGAATAATATTGAATATACCATGGACTGCCAGAAGAACAAGCAAATCTATTTTGGAAGACATACAGCCAGAATGCTCATCAGAAGCGATGATGGTGAGACGTCTTCTCACATACTTTGGACATGTTATCAGGAGGGGCCTAGAGAAGGACATCATGCTTGGTAAAGTAGAGGGTCAGCAAAAAAGAAGACGACCCTCAATGAGATGGACTGATACAGTGGCTGCACTTATCAAGCATAACAGCAATTGTGAGAATGCCGCAGGAGCGGGCAGCGCTTGGTTCTGTTGTACATAGGGTTGCCATGAATTGGAACCAATTCGACAGCACCTAACAATGACAACATATTATGCTTTACTCTTTTTCCCCCTATAAATCAGAGGTGGAACCACAGTAGAGACAAGAAAGCTAATCTAACAATTCTATAGTATCTTTTGTCTTCAATCTTCTGCACTTGCTGATCCTCTATTTGCAAATAACTGACAAGCTTCTCAAATGCTGAGCAACAGCTAATATCACCTTTGTAATCTACCAAATATGTTTTCAACAAACACTTATTAAAATTCGATACCAAAACAAGACTGCACTATAATTCTGTGATTTGTGTATGTTTGTACATGCCTATGTGTGTTTAATTTTTAGCAAAGTTATCCAAGGTTAAAAAGAATAAAGAACAATAGACTCTCAAATTTCTACCTTATATTCATCCACAATAATGCTGAGGGCTTCATGACCAGCTTTCCTCATATCTTCCAATTCTTGTTTATGTTTTTCCTGAAACAAAAAAAGAAAAAGGCTAAGGTTGGTTCTTTTGTTTTCAAAATTCAATTGTGCTTCCATGAATGATAGGTGGTTTGCGGCACACCCATGCTGCAGCTGAAAATAAAGAGAAAAGCCATGTTTTTTTGTTTTTTTAAAGTTCTGTTTAAAAGTATGGGGGGCAGGGGGTCTGAAAGAATGAAGAATGAAGGGTAAACAAAGCCTGAGAAAGGAAAACCATGATGAGTGGTGAGATAACACCAGACAATGGTGTTTTCCCTTGGGGTATTTGGCAATTCTGGACCTGGGTTAAGAGACAGGGTACTGGAAATGTGCCCAGACAAAGGGTTGCCACTAAAAGGCAGAAAAATCAGCAAAGATTTAGACAGTCTTGGGGTGTGAAGAGACAAAAATTAGAATCCTGAGGGTCCAGAAGCTCAGAGAGAAGTGAAGAGCAGAGAACTTAATTTTTCTTCATACATTTTCCAAATTCTGGAGCTATGCCACATAGGCGCCTAAGAAGCCTCGAGTTTAAGACTTTGAAAAACAAGAGTTTTTGGCAGTCTTACAGAGCTACTGAGAATATTAAGACTAGAGTTCAGAACCCATCAGTGGATAGGGTTCCAATGAATCCCTCAGGCTCTCAACTGAAACCAAGACGGGTCTACACTCTAGGGCCAAGAGTGAACAAGTGATATATGAAGCTTTTCCGAAATAGTAATCCAACTTCAGTCAGCAGTTCCTGACTGGATAGGTAGTGGTTCTTAAACTTTGGAGCTTATAAGAATCACCTGGGAAATGTGATAAGCCTAGAGTTTCAGAGCCTGCATTATTTCAACAAACTTGGACCTCTACATTTTTTATTTGTTCTGGTGATTCTAATACATAACAAAGTTTGAGAGCCACTAAATTCAGATGATCGGCCTCCCAATCTACCTGATAAGGAAAGAAAAATATGAACTCTCTCTGGAGGATGTTAACATCTACAGAGCCTCGCTAATTTTTCAAAAACAATGTCGAGCTTTCAATATAAAATTATCAGAGATGACAATGGACAAGACCAAAAAAACAGAAAATACAAAAGAAACAGACATATGGGTGATTCAGATATCAGAGTTATCAAAGAGTTTTAAGTATCTACAATTAATATGTTCAAGAAAATAGAAGGGGAAATGAATAAAAAATGTTAAGGTACAGATTTTCACCAGGACAACTACAACAACATTCTTGTTTCTGTGATTCCACTCTTGCTCCCTTATAATAGCCAGAATAATCCTTTTAAAATTTAAGAGCAATCATCTAAAATTAACATATAATGTCCATGAGGAGAGGAACTGTCATCCACTGCTGTATCCACAACCCTTAAAATAGTACCTGGCACAGTGGGTGTTCAAGAAATATCTGATAATAAAATATCACAGCTGCCCCAAATTCCCAAATGGCTTCCATATTACTACAAGTAAAATCCATAATCCTTCCGATGGCCAGCATATCATTCTTTTCCTGACTCTTTTCATCCCAAGTAAGCTGTTGTCATTGGCCTTGCTCAACCATTGCAAGTACACTTCTGCTCTAAGACTTCTACACCTCCTATGTCCTCTACTTGGAATGCTCTTCCTCCAGATATCATAGACTCACTTCCTCAAAAATCATCTTATCAGAGAGGTCTTCCCAGACCACCCTATATAAAACAGCATAACACATCACTCTCTATCCACCAACCATGTTTATTTTTCTTCATAGCATCTGTCACCACCTAATATTTTGTATCTATTGTTCATTATCTGTTTCCCCATGACTAGTATCAAAGCTCCATTAGGGCTGAAACTTCATAGATAAAGTCTCTTCAGTGCCTACAATAGTGCCTGGCCTGAGACAGAAGGCACTCATCAAATATTTGTTTAATGTTGACTGGTAACATGATTTTTTTTTTTTTTTTTTTGGAAGCCAACTCCAGAAACAGATATAAATTGGAATTTTTAAAAAAGGAGAGGAGAGGTAAGGAGAAGAGAGGAAATGAAGTGAAGAAGAAGAGGAAAAGAAATAGAAGGCTGCAAAAAATGGGAAGCTGGAAGAGATCAGAAGCAGAAAGTGTTTGGAAGCCAGAAGGCCAATTAGTAGACTATAATATTTTGGAAGAGCTAATGATAGTATGCTCTAACACTATAACACTTGAGAAGGTGAGGAAAAAACAAGACACTAGAGAAATTTCAAGTTTGACAATAAGTTCAATTTGGGAAGGTTATGCTTTACTTGCCATTAAATGCATCTCAAAAGGTGTCTTCTACATAGTATGAGCTCAATAAATAGGAACTGAATAAAGGAGAGATGGAATGAGTCAAATATATTTGAGAGTAAGCAAGGTGTTTTGCTCTTCATCAAAGAAAGAGAGAGTAACAGAAAAATAAGAATCTTAAAAAGTAATCATTATTTAGAAGTTGGTCTTGAAAAAGGTGGCTGCTTTATAGGTTCACGTATATGCTTGCTGAATGAATGAATGAGATGAAGATCAATGTTCTTTTTCTGACACAAGTACAGCATATAACAGAGTAAGTTAACAAACATGATGGGGCACATTTCTTTATCTGTTAAATGAGGGGGTTGGGCTAAATTATTTATATGATACCTTGTGAATTTTCTTAATGTTATTCTATGATACAGCATGCTAAAACTAGATGAATCAACTTTTTTTTTGCTTATTTCAAAGTTTCTTACGGCAATCATATAACCACTATGTGATACATCAGCCTGTCTAGTTATCAAAAGAAAAACACAGGAATAACCAAATAGTCATATACGGCCTGAAATTTTTAGCTCAAGGATAGAGAGCCAAAAATTTACAACCTATCTTCAAAGTGGTCAGTATCAAATTTGACCACAATGGTGGCTTTCTTTCAAAATGTCAAACCCCAAAGCACCACTAGAAAGGGAAGATTCAGGAAAATGCCTTCACTTTAAATAAAATTACAGAATTTTTTAACAAGAAGATATGTTAAAGGTAAGCTATTCCAACGTATTCGTTTTATAAATGAGTAAACTGAGGCACAGAGAAGTCAAGAAGTTTATTCAAGGTCACTGAGTTGAATACGAGCAAGGTGAAGCCTGAATTAGACCTAATCTGATGTTCAGTGAACAAACTCTATTGTCACAAACTGCACTAACTCCAGTCAACAGGATTTGAGCATATTCCCAATTCTTCATCAACAGATTGGTTTTCTGTAAAAAGCTCAATACATAAATTCACTTGTCATAAGGCATGCCTTCTGATGAAAATAAGACACATAATTGGATATTCTTGGTAGAAATTTGAAACAGTTATTCATTAATTCATTACTGCCAACCCGAAATTTTGGTCTGACAAAAATGCTGCAAAGCAAGGTGCTTTTTAAGGTTATCAGAAGCACATTATAACCGATTCTCCACTATCTATAACCACTCATCCCAACTTCCTGCAAAATGACTAAATATACCTAGGTCTTTTACTTTCAATATGCCTGGAAATGGTTAGTATTTTAAATACATATGTATATGTTGAATAAATACTTCATAAACATGAAACACAGTGTGATGGTTAAGGTTGTATGTCAACCTGGCTAGGCTATGATTCTCAGGGTCTGACAATTATGATATAGTTTGGCAGGTATGTAATGATATAATTTGGCAGTTAGATAATAGTGTAGTCACCCTCTGTTTTGTGATCTGATGTAATTACCTCCATGATGTGATCTGATGTGATGAGCCAATCAGTTGTAAGGGGAGTGTCCTTGGGGGTGTGGCTTGTATCCAATATATATGGATGTTCTGGTAAAGCTTGCTTCTTTGCTCTGGATCCTGCATCCAGTTCATCATCATCTGACCTTCGGTTCTTGTGACTTAAGCCAGCTACCTGCCATACTGCCTGCCGATCTTGGGATTCGTCAGCCTCCGCAGCCTGTGAGTCAGTGGCCTGCCATCTTACCTGTCAATCTTGGGATTTGTCAGCCTACGTACCCTGTGAGCCAGCAGCTTGCTGTTTTACCTGCTGCTCTTGGATTAGTCAGCCTCCGCAGCCCATGAGCCTGTGGCCTGCCATCTGACCTGCCGATCTTGGGTTCGTCAGCCCCTGCAGCTACGTGAGTCAGGAGAAGCCTCCAGCCTGACACCTGATCCACGGATTTGGGACTTAGCAGCCTCCACAACCATATGAGCCATTTCCTTCAGATAAATCTTTCTCTCTCTCTCAATATATAAATTCACTGGTTTTGCTACTCTAGAGAACCCAGCCTAAGACATAAGAAATGAACAAAAATAGATACTTCCAAAAAAAATCTAAAAATTAGCAATTGTTTGAGTAATCATCATTGGTATATTGATGACAACACTCAACTCAGATTCCTGAATTGAGACGTTAAAAAAAAAACCTCAAGCTTATGGCACAAACTGATAAACATTTCATAAATCATACTCAGTTACTGTTTACCATTGCTAAGCCAAGTAGAAGCCAGACTAATAAACTCTAACAGATTAATCCATGCATAGCAACAGGATCCTTTGCCACATGGATGGTTAAAAGCCAACATCTGATTGACATCTTTGGAATGAATTAGAATAGTGCTTAAAAAAAGAAGAAAGAAAAAAGGAAACTCCAAAGACGAACCAACCATTATATTTCACCTATTAGAAAGCAACTGCTTCTCACTTTCCAAAATCTTTGGCCAAGAGCCAGTCTATAATTAGCTTTCCAGAGTATAATTAGCTAATGTCTGATTAGGCAGGTTTTCCAATATAGGCTTCACCTTGCTTTCTCTGAAGCCACAGGATTACATCCCTTTCACAACAACTAATCAACTATATTGGGTAAGGCAGACATAAACACCTCCAAATATTCCGAAAGGAAATTTGTGGGATAAGAAATCAAAATAAAGATAGTGGGATAACATCCAACCAATGCACTGAAAGGTTCTGACTGACAAATGGTATAAAATCTCCCCTACCAAAAGCTGAAGAATCCAGCATGCCAAAGAGGCCTAATTGTA